GAGTTTTGGAATACTGCATTTTAAAAAGGCAGACTTGATTGATCCCTTTATATGGTTTTTGCTGACATGGGAACTGGTCATAGTTTCGATTGTAAGTCGGATTAAACGTTCGAATTAGCTTGCTAGACTAAGAAATAGAATGCGAACCGATTAACAAACAAATGAGGGTTAAACGATTATTTAAGGGCTAAGTTGGTGACAATGTAAACGACGAACTCAGTGACGGCGACGACATGTCGTAAGTACAAAGTAGAATATGCGGCTGACCGCTAGGCGTAGCCTTCGGCGTGTTTCTTAGAGAAGAATTTGATTAGAACGTGTAGGAATTAAATTACTGTCAATTTTGGTATGTGAAGACAGAGTTTTCGCTGTCGTCCGGCCGGCGATGTATCGTCGGATGCCACGTCTGTGGCGATGCGCATCGATTCTTCGGCCGGTCATTGATCCGCCTGCGGCTAGTGAAATTGCGCCAAGCAATTCTGCCTCTTTTAGAGTTGCTCTTCAATACTTTCTAACCATTTATAAAAACTATACACTAATACTACCGTTACGCAACATTGCAGTTAGCTTTGGCGCGGATGACGCCATGAGTGCAAATCCGTCCAACAACCAATGCCAGTAATCAAAATCTGGGCTGCCCTCGCCGACCCTCGCCGGCCCTCGCCTACAGTCGTATAGCAGACCGTTTAGCGCACTATGATCATCGCACGGGATAGCAAGTGCACGGCAGACAGTGTCAGCAACGTTATCGACTGCCCTTTCGGGTCTGAGACTAATTTAAAACGGAATAGGATTAAATCTTTGTCGCAGAGTGGAATTCGGCCGGCGCCGCAGGAGCCAGAACGAGGCAGCGTCGTCTCGCCCACGACCGCGCTTGGTTTGAGGAGAAAATCAATAACTGCGGCGTGTGTGTTTTCACGCAATTTACGGTCGTTGTCGTCCAGCAAACGTGGAACTGCGGGAGACGTATTCTGCAGTGAATTTTCATAGAATTGTCAATGATTTTTGAAACCGTTACCATTTCACGTAAGCAATGCTGAATTACCTGTCAAATCCCACAATGCGGAGTTCACCAATTATCGATTACGTATAGTTTACAAGTCGATGATTATGCATTTGCCTTGAGACGAAAGGTAATATCACCCGTTTTAAAGTGAAGCGATGGCATTATTTGGCAGATGAAATTAGCCGTCACTTTCAATGCTTCTCTGAGTTATACGTTGAAAGCTCAAAGCGAGTTACTTTGAACAAAGTCGAATAAACCGGATTGAAAAATGTCCATGTTAGACAAGTATCTGTCACAGAAAGATGCTTGTCATTCAGCGCATGCAAGCCACCTGCCTCTCGCTGATGCTGACCGATGTTGATAATAGACGAGTGACGAGTGTACGTGTCGTCTGTGTACTGCAGTGAGCGAAGCTGTTGCAATTATGACCGATAATTACCATCTCAGAAGCAGACGCGTTGCCGGGTAGCATAGTGCAATGTAATTTGAAGTCTTCGATTGAGTAGAAACTCATCAATAAACTATGACAATACGCAGATGCTTGACGACAAAGTCTAGATGTATGTTTGTCATAACGCATCGACAGTGGGGTATTCGGACGACGTGATGCCATGCTGGATTTTTCATGCGGAAGACGATGAAGACAATGACGGAAGTGGCCACTGGACGAGTCGCACCATTTCCGGCGTGCAGGCGCAGTTTTAGCAGCTGACCGCGCAGTTAATGTTTTTTGCTGGAAGCGCTTTCGATTGCACTCCGACTTCTCGTCTCCCTTATCCCCATAAAGCTCTGCAGATAGGCGCGTGTTTCGCACGTCACACCACGTCCTTTTCTACCCAGTCTGGCCCAGCCCAGTTCCGATCTGCCCCTCCCCCTGCGTGCTGCTTTTTGCTGTCCTGTTCTGCCTCATCCCTCTCCGTTCGACTGTGCTCCGTTGCCACTCGATCACGATGCTGCGAATATCCAGGACGTGTTAATGGAGATTGCACGATTCAGATGGTGTGATTTGAAATGGCGTTACGTCTTGATGATATTGCCAGGTTGGCTGCCGAAGAAGTGCGAGCACAGAAAGTGAGCGGTGGCGGAGTCGGTGGATTTAACACCAGTCCACGGCGCAACTTCGCCGCCACTGGAGCACTGACGACGCCGGTGAAGGCCAAGGAACCGACTTCGTTGTTCATCTTCTCGGCGGACAATTTTATCCGACGATACGCGAAGATGATCATCGAGTGGGGATATCCTTTTCAATCATTTTTAGCGCTGTTTGTTTACGAACCTAACGGTAAAGTTTGCCTTAAATTGTGCTCCCGCATGATTCTGTCCAATTTCAGCATTGCTTGACAGAAAATGTAATTAATACGTTTCGTTTCAAAATCATATCCGTGCGTTAATTATTGCGGTCTGTTAATACGTGTTGTTGAAATTCGGTAATAACCGAATGTCATGTTCTAGTTGGCTGTAGTGACTGCTCATTCAGTCAGCGATGCCGCTAGACGTCCTGTCACTGGACATACTCCGGTGACATTAATTTCATTATGCTCAGGTGGATTCTAGCTGCTCTCCTGATCACATACGCGCAGTTATCTCGTCGCGAATGTTCTTATTCGGCTGAATCGGCTTACTTCGGCGAAAAATTCGATTTTCCTCCAACGCGCGTTCTGCGTCTTTGTACGACGCGGGGTCGGTGGCGACGTCAGTCAACACTTGACGCTTTTGCCGCACAAGCGAGGATCAGAAAGTTGTATCGCTTTCTTTCCTCTTCGTCCGTCTGCACAAATCACTCGCCTTTCATACGACGACGTGTTTACAACGAATGCCTTGCCGTGACTCTACTCAGCAAGACGATAATCACGCCTATCAATAAATCGACAGTGCCCCGCTCTAGTCAGGTCCCGTTTTATTGCATTTCCACAATGTCGACGTCAGTCAACCGCTTTGGGATTCTGTGCTTGTTTTGACCTCGGTGGTCTTTGACACTTTTTAATTACAATTAACCTCAGTTAGCGTCAAGCACATTCACTGCGCAAACGCTGCTGGTCTCATTTCTGTTGCGTTAATCGGCAGAACATTTCGGTTGACTGAATATATGGTTTTTATTTTTCCCGATTGATTATGCTTCCTTCTCTAAAATGAAACCTTGCCACCGCTGAATAATGCTAAATTATAAGTTAGATGCTTGCAATAAATCCCACCAGCGCATGAGCGTCTGTCTATTCTTCGTTACCGGACTTCGAGCCACGATCGAGCACCTTAATCTGATGCATCAGATCATACCTTGAGGTTTCGTAAGCACGATCAGCTTCCTCTTAAGGTGTTGCTTTCAAAAAATGTTTCGGTTTCTCTCTAAATCTATGAGGTTCCTGATGTTTTCAGATGTTTGCTGATGTTAGATGTTGTCAGTCACTGTTAATCGTAACAAAGAACTGACTTATTCAAATGCATTTTTCCACGAGTTTCGTGGTTGACTAGTCTAAGTTTAATTTTTGGGTAACTGTCATTTTCCTTTACACGAACTAACATGGAAGTGAATGCCGCGAATCACATTAAAATAATATTCAAATATGGAAATCGCATAGATCACCCCTAAAGCGGTTTCCTTTGTTGCAGTGTCAGTCCAAGCCAGAAAAATTCATTTCAAGGTTTGGTTCTCTGCAAACTCTTAAGTAGATCCTGGTTCTTCCATATTCTTAGTCGCAAATTTCAATAGCCTCAAACTCAATATGGTGCAATTTTGCAATAAATGCTATCTTCTGTTCGGAACGTTTACGGCATGATATTGAATTTCAGGTCTGCGTTTTTGCCATATTTCTTTGAGTATTGAACTACGCAAGTGGCTTGGAGGATGCGCTTTCCGCTTTATTTTTTAATGCATTCCATCCCACTTAAGCTGGATCTTCGGCTTAGTCTTTGAGTCGCCTTTCCTTGTTCAGAAGGTAAACGGCATGAAGAAAAATGTTCACAGTCTTATCTTTGTAAAATAGCACCGACAATGCCCCCTAATCCTTCCTCCTGTATTTGCAATCAGGAGTCCTTCGTCGAAATGGCCCTATTTTAAATATATTAAAAGATCTGTCATGATCTAGTAGGCAGACCATTTCAGGATTCTTTACACGCCGTCAAGCCTGTCGTAGCAACTACGGCGAATTCCAACCACCGTGCTTTGCCCTGTCACGTGATACCTTGTTTTGGTTACTGGCGTGTCTTCGTAATTTGAGGTCTAGGTCGACTTGCCAGTGAGTCGATGCGATATCAAGCACTGTTAAATGGCGTCATTATAAATTCACGGCCACTGGTCTAAACGTTAAGATTCATATAACGTTCAGTGCAGAAAACACTGCTTCACATTAGACGAATCTTCGTTAATCAAAAACGGGTTCCGAAAGTTCCGGCTCTGCTTAGCCATCAGCCATTAGCGAGCGCTCGAGAGAGGATCACTTCTGGATTAAAGGCTTCTAGATCAAACTCATCGACACTCGCAACATGCAACTTTGTGTTCACAAAGAGTGCAACAACAGGTTCAAAAATAATTGTAATTGGGTCGATGAAAAGCATAGAAAGTCTTTCAATAACTTAGATTAATTTTGAGCTGAAGCGACAGCTCTAGATCTCATATATGTTTAAATCTTTTGGAAGCCTACTTTTACCCTTCTTATAAATTTCACAATTTACCAAATAAACAACGTTTGAAACTGCTACTGGCAATTAAAGGATGCTAAGGGATAAACTTACTGAATGTTAACAGATCAATATCGCTCCCGTGGTGCCACTCCGTATTTCCTAAACATTATTTAGCCCCTAGAAAAAAACTATTAGTTATATATATTTTTTACTTACGCTACCACTCTGTAGTTAATGAACTACTGTCTAACGCTAATATTGCAAGTGCCATCACTTAGTTAACGGATGTGTTAATTATAGTTTCCCTAGAAATGTTTCCCTTAGCAATACGTTTCTTCACCATCAACTTTTTCCCGCATCCATCTCGTTTATAAATTGTTTGAGAAATGAAACCTGTTAAAATAGGCTTAAGTTCACTTTTAGCATGCACTTGTGTAAATTAGGTTTAAGCCACTGCTGTCACTGGCTGCCATTGATTCATTCAAAATGTTTCAAGCTCTGAAAGCAAATGAAGCTGTTAAAGCACTTGATCTTCTGCAAGCCGATACCCTGAAAGCTGTTCATGACAGAAGGTCACTTTAAATATGGCTGATTCAACGCTGTAACGAAACAACCAAGAAATTTTATTTGAAAGATCCGAATCAGCGATTTCAAGCCATTAGTGAAAGTGATCATTTGTCATTCAGTGTTATTCTCTGTCCTTCGATTACTTGTTTGCATGCGGCTCCATTTTGAAACCCATTAACGGACTTCCTTTCTACGCTATAACTATACTTATATGGTTCTTATGAGTCAAATAAACTAATGCATGCGATACATTAAGCAGCGCAACAGTCTTAACGTGTAGTCTTCCAGCGTTAGAATGAAGCCGCGGATCTTTGTTGGAAATCATTTAAACTTGAAGCTATTGTATCATCGTCTACTGAAGTGAATGTCTCATTTCTTGCACCGTATATTGTGTTTGCGAGAGAACGAAGTGCTGATTTTGAGCACTCGAATGAATGAAGACATTCGCATATTGTCTTTCTTCATCTCTTTCTATTTCGTGAATTCAATCCACATTTAGGCGTCCACGTTTCAAATGATTTCCAACGAGTATTCCAAACTGGACAGTCTCAACTTTGTTCATTATTATTCCGCTTAGTTTGCGGGTCTACTGCCGTTAGCTGATAATACAAATGGATTTGGAAATGGCCTAAAAGATTCCAATAGCATCTGCTTATTCTTACGAAAGTACGGCATTTTCCCCGCAATTAAAAATATTTTGACTATATCATATCTAACATCATAATAAGCTTATTTGTTAAACCCGCTACCATACAGACTATACCATTTCAAGAGTCAGACCATCTTTTACCGAGCACATTCCCTTCAACAGAGATCCGCTGTTCGAGGAACTGTCGTAACTTTTTTTGGTCTTTGGTTAAATCTGTGGTCACTCATCGGAACTTCGCCCGTTAACCTTTTCTTTTAGTTTGATTAGCATCTTTGCAATATCACAATACGGCGCTCACCTCTCTTTTTGAGCTACTCAGTTTTTCGACAGATTCCTTAAGTCATTGTCGATTTTCTCATTATCTAGAAGAATGGCATTAAGATACTTGTACTTTTTGGTTTGAAGCAGCGTACTATCCGCTACTTTCAATTATTCTTTGGCCTTCCCTCTATTTTTGTCGATGAAACAGCCCTTCGGATGTTCCGATTTGTCTTTACTGAGGCAAAGGCCGTTATTTTCAAGGACCGATCTCCATGTTTCAGTTTTTGCCCCCACTGCTACTCTGCTCTCAGCATTGAATCATTTCCATAAATCATACAATTTGAACGGCTTATTGCAAATCTTTCGTCGTCGAGTCTGTTGCCATCAATAACAGAAATTGGCTCACTAATGAACTTTGATGGATCCCATTCCCGCACTGGGAATTCTTCAATTTCCCAGCTTGTACTTTTAATCGTTATTATCGCTTTATCTTATATATCCGGGTAACTATAAAAATATTTTTTCGTACCAACTTCTTTTTCATACTTTCATAAATTTTCAGTCTTGGTATACGAGTTAAATTTTCTGAAGACCTAGGAACACCATATGAATGTCTACGCTTCCTCTTCTCTCCGTTAAGGGGATTGATCTTAAAGCAAAGATGGCTGAGTGACACGTTTCAATGTCAAACTGGATCGTATTGAAATCGACCTCTTTTCTCAATCTTTTATCAATCGCCCTTTCGTGTGACTTCGTTATATGGCTCAGCAGTTTGATACCCCGATAATTTTTACAAGTAAGCATCCCCTCCTTCATCTGTATCTTGTCATCAAAATGCTCTTCTATCATAACTCCGGCATCTATGTACTGTCCATGATTTTGCCAAATAGTGCCTAGAGCCTAACCACGCGTTGCTGGCTTATGTGTTATAGTTATCAGTCGAGTTAAATGTTTATTGATACTTTCATACTTTCTGTTCCATTGTGTAAACCTCGAAAACTCCATTTATTTTTAGAGACACTTGTACTCAGTTGTGGTTTTTAAACATGCGGGATATTTTACTTAAGTCTATGTCAAGTGCATAAATTCAAGAATGAATAGTGTAATTTTAGTTCTGAGGTTCATTTCGACTACCGTATTCTAACAAAGGAATAGAAAATTTTTATGAAGGATAAAACAGTGAAGTATTTATTTTCATTGCACACTAAACCGAACGTAGCTACAAAGTCCATTTTGAAATAAGAGATCGACTTTTATCGTAGCAGAGTCCTTACAGTAAGCAACTGATCATTGTCGATTCTATAATCTTGTCCGTTTTTCTCCATACTAGTATCTGTCTTTTCATTGCCTGCATAGTATTGTTTGCATATTTTATTCAGATTCTTTTACTTTTCTTCATTCACTCTACTCGCGAACTCCATCCTTGCGTATGCACTGATTTTTAACGAAACTGCGCTTTTGGCAATGTTTGGAATTTACGTATCCTTTTCTTATGAGCAGGTACTTTATAGAGCCATCAGAATATGATTTAAGAAAAATTTATTTAAAAATCAAAAGTGCTTAGAGCTGTTTTCATCTTTTCCCTCTGTAAAAGTTACAGGTTCACCTGTGTATTAGGTTCATTAAGGTGAAGAAAGAAGTGTGCTCCGATCCTTAGTGAACCTTGTATACTGCTCATGATTACCCCTGTTGGGGTCATTACTCGCAGCACTGCAGCACTAGCACCTCAGTACTCAAAATCGTTGCGTGCAATTTTTATCAACAGGATGTGAAAGCGTAAGGTTCTTTCTGTAAGTTAGCTACTTAGAAAACATATATCCTCTTCTCTAGCGATAAAACAAATTGATTGAAAATAGGCAGTTTCAACTTTGACATAACGATGCGTTGCCCACTTACCTATTGAAATTGTAAAATACATCTCTGAGGATCTTCATTGCTATTCGACGTGAGTGACGTCATTCCCCTCTCTTTTTTCCATCTTAACATATGCGGCACTAATCATAACCGTGTGGCCGGTCGTTAAATGTTAGGTTAATGCTAAATCATGCCCCCGCTCGCCCTCCCACTCTCCATCCAGTAATATTCGGCTAGAAGTTAAACCATATTCTCGATAAGTAGAATGTAATATGCCAGACTTCCAAAAAATTAATTTCTAATTGTTTTGAACGATAAGTAAATTCACGACTACATGTTGTCGTACCACACGATAAACAATGTAAAGCGCACAGCTGCGAATATGATTTGTGAACGATTGTGTCGTTTTTTCCTTAACGAAGTTTTACGCCGTTCGAATACTTCATCCTAATGACCATCATTGCAAACTGCATCGTTTTGGCATTGGATCAGCATTTACCGAACAATGACAAGACACCGCTGGCACTCAAACTGGTAAGTGTTTTAATGTTTATTTTTGATCATTCATTGCCATAACTAAAATATGCTTATTTATTTCAATATTTGTCAACATGTCGGTAGAGACAGTTGTATTCGAAAAATCAAGTCATTGCGCAGGTTTCTGAAATATCCACATGGAAATATCGTAGTTTCGTTGTGTATCTTTAGTCAAGCTTAATCACAAATATCCGAACAGGTTAGCACGTTTGTAGCTTCATGATGCAGCACTCTGAGGAAGATCTCACTTCTGAACAGCCGCCAAAGTCGAGATAAAAACAACTATAGAAGTACTTTGAGACAGGATATTGCTGTTGGCAATTTTTAGTGTGCTATGATGATGAAGACCTTCACATGTTGACTGAAACAGTATGCGCGACCGTAATGAAAGCAAGTTTCCAGATGAATTCCTCGATGAGGAATACAGAAAGAACAATTGAAACGAACGTTTTGCGGAAACAGTTCCATCAAGTAGTCTCGTAGATTAAATTATCTTCAACTCGACCAAGCAAACTCCTGACATATACTTTGTTTGCAAAAAATGGTTGAGGTTAAACCTTATTCGAACAAAAAAGGGTTTTTACGGACACCTGCTCAACCATTAGAGGATGAAGTTCAGACCGTAGTGTGACTGCGGCATGAGGATCAGACCATGCAGCACACTATTTCCGAATGCTCGCTGCGACAGTTCGGCGGCGGCATAATTGATGTCCAGAATACTACCACGACGATCATTCATCTTCGCTTTCTTTGAAATCTGCATATTGAACTATAAATTACTGGTCATCTCCCGTAGCTGTACGACAGGAGAATACCTCAGTGCCATCATCTCGAACCGCACTACCTGTGATCAAAGACAAAACGTGTGGATTATGTGCATTTGCTACTGGTGTAAGAGCTTCGCAAATTTTGGACTATAAAGGAATAGCGGTAATTAGTAAGGTCCACGTTTATTGTTCCATGAAGCTTACTGCTACGAAACCTAGCCAACCTTATATGATACGACCGCGTCAGGTACGGCCAGGTTCTTGCATCGGGTAGCCAGTTCTTAGAAAGAAGAGCTGCGTGGTTCGATGATCGGCTGTTGATGAGGAATCCTTCCGTCGTTGACCCAGAAATTGTAGAACTAATATTAAAATGTAGAACGTTGAGATGAGTGAACATAACAAATCTGAAAGCAGCATGCAGTTTTGCAAAGTGGCTGAAGCTGATCATGACGAAAGAACAAGACAGACTGAAACAGTACGCATGAGCATGGTTTTAATGCATTGCAAGCACTGTCGTTTCCGTAAATTTGCATTTAGAGCGTAGGTGAATGAACATCCGTTTTACTGCATAACTGATGCTTAAAAATGTATTTCGTCTCACATAGTGGCTACTAGGTCGAAACTGAACCATCACTTCGAAATGCGGCTTTTCATTCATTCACTTAGTCATCTTTAGCCACACTAACTACTTAACACTTACTATTAGTCGCCATCCTTTGATGTTTTGGCAAGCCGTTTGCAAATTCGATATGTCTGCACTGTGATAGATTGCCTTTGAATACGTGGCAATTATTGTTTTGTGTTCTGTTTTCTCATCATCACTTATGGCGAAAAAAGTTTGAACAACAGAGTAGCATAGATTTATGACATCTGGTTATTAGAAATGGCATCTCAGATTATTAATATTAGCCAACGTTCACTTCTGTGGCGAAGGACACATTCCTCTTCGCACTCATGTCTACCTCAGCGAAGTATGGTCAAGGATTAATTTACGCTGAAAAGTAGGACTGTCTGACGATCTTGTTCAAGCAGTGTAATTTTCAACTTTCCATTTCAATTATATTGCCTTACACGGCGTCTGCAGTCAAACGAACGGTTCCCACATGAGAGAAGTTTTCCTCAGATTTCTATTTACTGTTTGAATAGGTCGTTATAATTTTCCTAGCAAAAAGCCGTTTTCTGAATTCTGATGATGTTTCCAAGCCGGTAGTCATCAGCACCTACTCGTTCATGAACTTTCAGACCATTGCCCTTTGAGTATGCTTCACAGACGGCGTCATTGTAAGTTGTCGAGACAGATTTTATGACCATCATTGACCTCATGAAAGGAACGGCGCCAGAAATTACTTCATCATGAAAGTATAAGGAAAACCGACATTTCAACGGTAACTCTCTTTTCCTTTTCATTAATATTCAGAACAGCGGATGCTTTGATTCTGTACATTATCATTGCGAATACGGCTGCTTTCAGGATAGTGATTCTCATAGTCGTTTGTGTGCTTACGATTTCTCCATATCTTATACAATTTTCGAAAATCTGCCGATCCCAGGTCAGTGCTCTAGTTCACCTCAGGATAAGAGTCGTAATCATTGTCTAAGACTGCTCCAAATTCTTTAAACTGTTCACCTCTTCCTCACTACATCATTTCGTGCCGTGTTCTGGCGGCGGGTGCTCTCATAATTTTTGCCTTCATGCACTGACGTGTGTCTCCACTCTTGCATGCGTGCTGTACGCTATTTCGTAACTGTCAATAGGCAGTTTTTTAAATCGCTCAACAGTATGAGGTCATCATTTAATATGCAATGAAGTTGAATAATAAAGGAAAGATTACCTCGCCTGGACGAACTTCTCTCGTGACG